CGATTGTCGCCTCACCGCACAGCTCCATAGGAAATGAATGGAGAACGAGCGACGTCGCCTCCCGTGTGTCGAGCCCTTTAGCAGTTAGCAATTAGCTGTTAAGCTTCTGCTATTTTTTACATGTTAGCATTAGCAAAGCTAACATTTTGGTTAGCTGTGCTCACCACTAGCATCCAGTATTTCCTGTCATGGTGTTCGCAAGAAATCAATATGAAGTTGTTGTGGCTCAGTACATGCAATTTTACCAACTRCTAAACTGCCCCTCTGAACTTGTTTTAAAAAGAACCTTTAATGGTCCCGATTTACTTTACATTTAACCAAAAAAGTGAAAGTGTTCATTATAAAGTGGCTAAATATTTGCTAYGTTAAAAATCTGATGAAATGTAAAAAGGTACGTTTTTAAAGTATCCCTTCAGCAAAGAAAGTCATTGAGCGTTAGATGGTTAACATGAGTGCATTTCCCAGTCACATAAATATCTSTATAACATTTAATCTGAAGTGCTGACTTTTAAGGACATCCCTCATCTCCACGAAGACTTTATGACTGTTGTGTGTYGGAGTCGACCTTAAAAAGTCRGCCGAGGACCACTTGGATTTGTCTSGYGACCAGAAAATTACACATCACTCCTGGGGCCCAAACATCTGGATAACAAAGGACTCTGAGGAGTTTAAACAGAGGCAGCTGTGAGGGAGTGCAGCAGACGGACAGATCTGTTCAACATGAATCCTGCTCTGGTGGCGCTCCTCTGGTCTCTGCTTGCYTCCACAGCAGCTCAGCCCTACGACCACTATGACATGGGCTGGGTGAACGGCTACCGCCAGGGCTTCAACTTCCAGTGTCCCCACGGAGAGGTCCTCGTCGCCGTCAGGAGCTACTTCAGTGAGGCGGATGGCTCGGACCGCCTGTGGTCATTTGAATGCCAGCCCACACCTGAGGGACTGGGCGAGCCCAGTGACTGCTGGTGGGACGACATCAACCGTGCWGGGCTGGAGTGGTGGGTACTCAAAATTATTTTACTTAAATTCTTCAGCTATGAGTGACATAAAGTGAAGAAGGGTTAGGGTTAGAGAGGAGAAACCTGTGCTGCAAGTCAAAACTTTAGACAGATTGATGATTTATTTTTATTATTTGTAATTTGATTTTTTTCAAACATCTCAAAAGGACATTTATTACAGAATAAAACTGAGSAAAAACTACTGGAAGTGTGCTTTTTACCCATAGAAGTTTAGTTTAAGAAATAAAGTAAACCTTTTGATTGGATAGATGACTGTACTACTGTATAATCATATACCCCCAAATTTAATCTGCTCAGAAATTGTGTAATTAAAATGTCCCTCCTTAAATTAAAAAACTTATAACTGTTTATGAAAACTTTAAACTAAAAGGGAATAGAATACTTTGAGGCCTTGTCCACACTACTTGTTCTCTAGTTTTTTAATATACGAACATGTACATATTAGGTGGTTTTTGCTCTGTCCATCCACACATAAACAGGATTTTGGGGAGTAAATATTAAAAAAAAATTACAAAGTGAAAATAAAACAAATGTTTTTGGTCTATCTGTGTGGATTCAAAATACATAGCATTTCAAAAAAAAAAAAAAAAAAGATGACAAAACCATCTGTTTTGTCACTTTTGGCCCAGAAACTAAAAGAAGAATAAGGAAGATTTGTTTTTGTTTTTTCTCATAAACTTTGATTCTATGTAAATGTAACTGTGCAGAAACTGTGAACTGTATAAAAATGTTAAATCTTTAGTCATTCTAGCTGTTGTCATCTTCCTAAAATAGTCATCCAGCTCATGTTCTCAAGTTTGTCACAAAACTCAAATATGTTTAATTGTGCCGTCTTGGTTGAGTCATTTTATTTCCTGAAAATTTTGACAAAAAAAAAAAAGAACAGTTTTAGGCAATTATTTTAGGAAGCTTATTTTTTATGTAAATGTTTTTTGCCACCTAGTGTTATCCCAAGAGAGTTTCAGCTTTTTTTGTAAAAACGTGTAGCCTGGTTAAAACCAGACCCTGTCCTTCACTTGGCTTCGTACAAGGGTCTGGACTTGATGCATAGAGAAGCGTTTCTGGCAGGAGGCGTGGCCTCTGTTGAAGCATGTGTGCTGTCGGTGTGAAGGAGGCTAAGCTAAGAAGCTAACCGGAAATCGCGTGTGCTGTAAACAACCCTATTGAGAGGAGAAATATACAAGACGACTGTAAATGAGAGCTGCTGCTTTGTCTGACAATTATAATTTAATGTGGAAGCCTTATCAACACAGACTGGCTTCATTCACTTCCTCCACTGCCGTATGCTAAACTAACTAGCAAACACTGCGCAGAAAGTCGACGTCATTCAAAACTCCACCTTCTGTTCTCTGATTGGTCCAGGTAAAATAAACTACAAGCAGACACTGCGCAGAAAATTAACGTTCTGTTCTCTGATTGGCCCGGCTAAAAATCAGCCAGTGAAATCCTTGTCAGTGGGAGAAGTCCCAGACGGAGCAGTGAAGGGAAACTAGAACTGAGCGGAGCTGCGTAGGAAGGCAAGGGCCAGGCTAAAAAATGTGTGAATATAATAAGAAAAGAGCAATTAATAGTAGTGGGAAGAGCTAATAGGTTAGCCTCTCCAACTAATAAACAGCTAACTAAATTATAACTTTACTAATGCTAAACATCTAACAATTAGTGAAAGCTAACACTAAYAGCTAATAGCCAAGACAACTGTGACTCAGTCTAAGCAACACGTGTTTTTATCTCCTTCCAGCTGAAGACTGGTGGACTGACACAATGATGATGGTGTTAGCATGTTAGTTAGATAACTTTGGCAAAACATGATTTAGCAACTGGTCCGCTAACAGTTTTTTAAAAGTTAGTGAAAATGCTAACCCACTAAAGTCGTTAAACCTGTTGATGTTAGTTTGTTAATTAGCTGTTAGCRGACTTAAAGCTGGCAAAACCTAAATTAGCGGAAGCTAATTGGTCCACTAATGGTTTGCGAAGTTAGTTCAAAGGTAATTTATTAAACTTCAAAATTTGCTCAGAAAATAAGCTGATTAGGAGAACCATGCCCACCGCTGAGTATAAGAAATAAGTGAAATAGTGCGGATAATTATTGTTATTCTTACTTATTCTTACTAAAATAAACTTTTACTGACAGTAAGAGGTGAACCATTCAGCTGGAGKTTACTTCCTGTTAAATGGGAGTCATTCCTCTCCACTGTCTCCCTCTGACCTGTACTTATTCAGGGTGAGGGTCTATGATTCTGTGCAATGTGTTTTCCTTTAAGCCAAAATTTAAAATAGTGTTTTGAATCAGCTACTGATGTACTGTGAATTTAAGKTTTAAAGTCTCTCACAATCAGAGAGAGAAACAGGTTTATGAATCAGTCTCTATAATGATAAAATAAAACTTTAAATCAGTCTCTGCTCATCTTCTAAACCCTTTGTCGTATTATTTTTGTTTTTCTGGCTAAAACCATCTGATTTTGGTCGGCTGTTTTTTTGGTCATAGAGACAAAGCAGATCCTCCAGAGCCTGAACGACTGCACGTCCCCCTCCAGAGCAGATATTATGTCTTCAGCTGACAGTTCACATAACTACACCCAGAGAGTTTCACCAKGCTCCATCCAACAGGCAGTGGTCCTTCAGAGATGTCCTGCTTTAATTTATAGGCCACATATGTCGTCAACCTTTAATTCCATATATCCAAGGCTTTCAATTTTCACCATATCAAATGCCACAAGCTCACATAAACACCTCTAACTACCAGTTTCACTCAAAGGTTGATCTAAATAAAGGTTTTGAACCAACCTTTAGAAAAAGATCTTTATCATCTTTATCTTCAACACCTCAACACCCTTCTGTGTCTGCTTCACGGGCCTCAGTGTGGTTTGGAGAAAACACATTTGTACTATTTTTATAGATTTATTTTAAGTTAAATTTGACTACAGCCAACCCACAGTGAACAGTTTTTATCACGGTAATGCATGCTTCTTTTTTCTTTTTTTTTTACTATAGATGTTAGTTTGAGTTGAACTGATTGCTCTGCAGGAATTATGTCCAGCTTATTTAACTTATTAATTAATGAGTAAAGACTGTCACCATGAGAAATGTGGGATTCCCTGGTGTTCCTGGATTTATAGGGGGTCTAGCTACTTTACATTACCAATCAAAGTGGATATAAAACTGTCTATGTTTTTGTTCAAACAGCAGGCTTGTGATGTGTATATATATA